TCTTGCTCCCTCAAGGCTCTGGGAGAAAGGCACAGGGCCATTCCTGGCCTCTTATAGCTTCTAGAAGCTTCTACACACAACACGCCAGTCTATCTCCAGCTGCCCATGTCCTTCCTCCCTAGCTCTGTGTCCAAATGTCCTTCACTTATAATGACATCAGGCATTGAATTAGGGCCCACTAGTGCAGTGTGACCTCATGCTAACTGGATACATCCGCAAATACCCCACTGACAAATAACTCACATCCACAGTTCTGGGGGTAGAATTTCAACATAGCTTTAGGAGGGACACAGTTAACTCTGTAACAGTGCACCCAGACTTCTCACATGTAAATTACAATCACCTCATCTTAACATCCCCGAAAGTAGCAGTCTCCCCTATCTGCCTTTTGCCAGCCTCTTCCCACTCTTGACTCCCTCACCCCTTCCTCTCTCCCTCTCTTCCACCTCTTCCGCCTTCCTTCCCTTCCCTCCCCTGCTCCAAATGGGGTTTGCTCCTGCTCACATTCTCTCTCTCTCTCTCTCACACAGACACACACACACACACACACACACACACACACGCCCCTCCCTCAGGATCTGCCAGTCAGACTTCTGAACATACTTTGACTCTTGATTTTAAAATCTGCTGCCCAGCCCAGTGTCTCCATGTCTACAAATAAATGAATGTCTCCCCTTATAATTCACAGTTCAGCCCAGACAACCTCATAAGCTAATTAAGCAACCTTGGAAGCAAAATAGAGCTGTTTTTATTTTATTTTAAACCTGTTTCATAAATATGTTCTGCAGTACTGCTGAGGCAATAGCCACCACTAGGAAATTATTATGAACATAAATTAGCAGAGCAGTTCATCTAGCCCACAGGTAAGCAAGTTTTCAGATTGATTTGTTTTTGCACAGAAATCAAAGTGGTTGAGGAAAAAAAAATACATGCCGAAACGGTGAGGCGTTGAGACAGAGCCAGAGATGCAGTAACTAGAAATTAAGGAAATGGACTGTAAGGTTGGATTCAAGTCATCAGGTTGACAGAAGTGCCATGTGCGAGAAAGCAGAGTGACCCCAAGTCAAGAGGCTCTCAAGTCCTCCCAGCCACACCAGTGCTGTGTGCCCCAGTGTGAGTGACGTGCCGTGTGCCGCGGTGTGAGTGACGTGCCGTGTGCTGCGGTGTGAGTGACGTGCCGTGTGCCCCGGTGTGAGTGACGTGCCATGTGCCCTAGTGTGAGTAACGCATTTCCTCCAGCCAGGACCAGCTTCGCCCACACCAGCTTCCTCGTTAGTAGCGCTCAGTGCAAAATGAAAAGTAAGAGCCCCTGGTTCATACATTTTTAGGCATTTCAGGAGTATGTCAACCGAGCCTTACACCAAACACAGGGCTCTTCTAAAGCCCAGGGCAGCAACGTGGCATGCCCTGCCCACAGGCTTCCATCTTTCAATCAATGAAATGGGACAAAAGAAAGTGGCATTTGCCCTGGCTCCTTCGTGAGTGATCAGGACGATAGAGTGAGATGTATATTTTCTGTTAACGTGCTTTGCAAATGTGGAAGCTCTTTCTGCAGAGCCAAGGCCACAGGAAGTCTGCAGACCCAAGTAAGGGTCTTCTGGGTGCCTCCTGCCCACTTAGGAATGAAGTCAGGAAAGCCAAACACCTCCCGCATCGTTAGTGCTATATAAACCACAAGGGATGAATGAGGTGCAGCTCATTCCTTGAAGTTTTCAGTGAATTAAAAGAAATCCATTTATGTAATGTGACGTGGTTTCCTGGACTAGATGCTGGCACAGGAAAAAGACACCAGTAGAAACCCATAAAGCTCTAGAGTTTAGTTAATAGTGACTGACCACTGTAAATTTCTCAGTTTTGACAAGTGTACTTGGTTTTAAAGGGGAATCTGGGTGAAGTGGCCAGGAATTCTCTTCACCGTCCTTGCAACTGTTCTGTAAATCTAAAATTATTCCAAAGCAAGTTTATTTTTAAAATATAACAGTCCAGTTTGACTGACAGGGAAGAAATCATGATTTCCATTTACTTGGCAGTAATAATAAAATTATTACCACTTTCTATGTAAAATATGGAAACCTGTGCTAAGTGGCCTGTCTTCCTTATACCTAAATCCATAATACCCATAGGAAGGAAGGGAGCTGGGGAGAAGTAGACTGAATAAATGGGGAGGACGTGAAGTTTAGTGCATATCCTCACTATTCACCATATTTCCTTTATTTTTTAAATTTGTATACACACAAGAACTGGGGTGCAGTCTGGAGGTGCAGGGGTGAGCGTTCACCAGAGACAGAGTGGGGAGCAGAACAGGCAGATTGATGAAGGACACTGCTGACGGGCGCAGCGGGGAGATGGGAGAGGTCTGTGCGCCCTGTGGGTCACCTCCGGGGCCTGGGATCGAACTCAGGCTGCAGTGGCTGTGGATCACTTCATAGTGCTGAGGCTTAACCCACTGCACCACCAGGGAGGGCCTCACCATATTTCTTAATTTACTCAAAAATTCAACATTAACTCCAAAATCATCTTCCTTAAGCCACATGGCTTCATATTCTTTCCCTATTATCATTTTTCTTCTCATTGTAAGATTAATTCATTCTTGTTCTACAAAACCCATAAAAACACAACATTCAAGATTATAGTCCTGTGACTGAGAATAAGCATGGTCAGTATTTCAACTCATGTTATGCATATAAAACTTACATATAAAACATGTAATAATACAAGCAAATGGCTATAAGCCAGCATTTCCAGAATTATGTATCGTGAAACATTGGTCACCACAGCCTGCCATAGTCTCCCTCTTGGAGATTCACCCTGCAAAACGGTATGGCGGGAACGTTGTGAGAACTGCTGCAGACTTGTTAAAATTCAGGTTTCTTGATGTATGAATTCTGTTATTGTTTAACAGAATCCTTCTTGGGAAACTCTGCTATAAATAAATAAATCTGTTCCAGATGTTTTGTCATTGAACAAGATGTTATGAGGATTTTCTCATGTTATTCGAAGATAGTTGCCAACATTAGTTTTATGGCTACAAATATGATATCAAATGAGCTGCCCTGTCCAGTGCGCCCCTACCAAAGCACCTCTACCAGTGCCTCCACATGCGTTAGGGGGAGCACTGGCGTCCCCACAAAGCCTTCACCCCGTGGTCATGTGCTGTGAAATCTTAGTGTTCTGTTGACTCTTCTCAACCACTTAAAATAAAAAAAAAAAAAAACACCCAGGAGCCGGGGAGGGAGGAGGATGATGTGTAGTAAAGCAAGTCAGAAAAATAGAGGGAAATACTACACTTTTACAGGTAGAGTAAACAAGGAATCATATGGATGATGGACAGAGAAAACACAAGCTAGCAGACACTCAAAAACAAAGTGAGACGTCCCAGCTTCAAAGGGAGGAGGGAGAAGGGGCACAGGGGGTAGAGTGGCTGGCGGGGGTGGATTTTTTAGTTGAAAACCTTTTCAAAACAGAAAAGAGACGTGTACCTAATTGATACTGATCTACCCACCATCCTCTGCTACAACAAGATGAAGCAACTGTCAAGAACCAGGAGAAACTGGCCAAACCGCAGTCTCGAGTGTGTTTGGTGGGAAAGGAATTGTCCCAAAGAGAAGAAGGGGGCTCAGGACAGCTACAGCAGGTGACAGAAACAGTTCAGTTCTCCTTAAAGAAGTTGCCTGTACACAGGCTTTCTGGCCTCGGGTTGGTGAACAGGCTCACCAGCCACGGGCCAGGGGCCCACTGTCACAGCGGGAAGTTCTGACATCTGTAGGGTGCATATGTTCCTGACAGGCCAGGGTTGGGGGGGCAAGACAGCTGCCAGAGAGGTGACCCTGCATCTCTAACTAGCCTCAGCAGTTGGCCTAGTGAGTGTCAGAAGAGCCGAAGCCTTGTCCAACCAATCTGTGGCTGCAAACGTGCTTCCTCCTGTGGGAGACGAGGAGCCAGCAGCTACAGGTCGTGGAGGCTGAGGAGGCTGGCGAGAACGCAGCAAATGGAGGCGAGTCCACGTGTCAGGTCACGCTTGAGGAAGGTACTGGGAGCGGCTGTGGTGCATTCCGACTGCTTTGGAAACTTCCGTTGCAGGGTCTGAAAAAACTAGATCTAACTAGATCTCTTATTTTCAAGCTTGAGCCCCTGGGACTCTGAGCTCTTCTCAGCTTCTGCTTACACTCCGTTCATTCTCGGCAGCTAACTAAGCAGAAGGAGCCGGGGTCATGTTGGAAACAGGCCAGCGGAGTTCCACTTCTGCGTTGCCAGAGCTACCCTAACCCCACACCAGGACTGAGGCCAGGCCTCTGAGCCCCAGCCTTCCTCCCTCCCCACCGGCCACCAACATAAACGAAGAAGAGAAACAAATGCCTCAAAACCCATAGCACCCCACCCTAAAAGAGCAAATAAGGCAAAGCCCATCTGAACACAAAGTGGAAACACACACAGAAGCGGTGTCAGTCAGAAAGTGAATGGTACCAGGTGGCTCATTGGTGAACTAGAAGTCACCAAAGGACCTGATCTGGAAAAGCTCAGCAAAACTGCTTCTTAGACCCTGTGAAAAATATGCTGGTCAACAGAGGGAGTGGTGGGGAGGCAACAGGGCGAGGTAGGGACCAGGGCGCGGCACGGAGCTATGGTGGAGGGTCATTGAAGTGTGTGTGCGTGTGACTGTGAAAGTGTACCCCTAAGTTATTTAACTGCATCTGCATAACTGACTGGCAATTCATGGTTAACATATACAGAATAAGAGCCCTCCCAGGGAGCCTCTGGGTGAAGAAACTTCTGGGCCTGTTTCCTTGACTCCCAGCATGGGTCACAGATTACTTCACAATTGCCTGTGCGGGGGGGGGGGGGCACCCCGTGTCATGCTTTGTCATCTTTTCAGCCAATCAGATGGCTGCACATGTCCCCTGCCAAGCGCCTCGCTCTGATGTCACAATGTGGCCAGTATATGTTAGCCTGTCCACGGCCACTCTCCAGCTAGACAACAAGGTCAAGAAGACCGAAGTAAAATGTGGAAGAGAAGTGACCATCACCCAAAGATCAAACCAAAGAATGGACCTCCGGATGGCCAGTTCAATGAACTGTCCTTAACCGAAGAACTGGCCGGTCCCAGCACCGCAGACCCAGAACTCCAAAGCTGCCGGGTGTTCGAAGCTATTCGCCGTCACGTCAAAGAATCGGGAGCCCAGCTCGTGAAGAAAGTGAACGCCATCTTTCAACTGGACATCACCAAAGACGGAAAGACCTTCATGCAGTGGACCATCGATCTGAAGAATGGCTCTGGGGAGGTATACCTTGGCTCCTCCAGGATTCCAGCGGACACTGTCTTTACCATCTCGGAGCCTGTGCTGCTGGAGTTGGTCTTTGGCAAGATGAACCCTCAGAAGGCTTTCCTTGCCGGCAAGTTCAAAGTGAGTGGCAAGGTTCTGCTCAGCCAGAAGCTGGAGAAAGTTTTCAAAGACTGGGCTAAATTCTAGGCTCGTGAAAATATCAAGGGAATGATCAAACCTTCTCTCCAATTATTGAGTGAAAATCATTCTTAAACTGAAGATTAAAGCAAAAAGTGTCCAATATTTTTACTCAAATTCTTCCTATAGAAGTTTGATTAATTTTCCGGATATGTAATTGTGGAGGGAGGGTTTTAGAGCAGTAAAGAGTATTGGAGTGTATCACTTAAAATCTCTGTCTTTTTTTCTTAGATTTATGATGCCATATACAGTGCTAGGGTGAGGGCCACAGTTAGAGAAATGATTTGGACAGTGGATTTAATTGCTCCAATGACTTGGGTTTCTGAGATTTGGGGTTTTTTGGGATTTTTTTAGTTCAGTAATTTGGGGAAAGAAGTGAGAGCTATCTTGTGCCCTTCCAGTTGATCCTTTGAGGGACTTTAGCCCAGGTTGGGACTTCTAGGTGGGGGCCCCAAGGCTGTGTGGGTGGACTGTGGCAGGGCGGGACAGGCCCTTGGTGTACCACAGCCTCTGAGAGGTTAAAGGCGGGGTGGCGGCAGGGCCTGACGCGTTCTAGGCCACTGGCTCTTAAACTGGAACATGCGGGGGGTGATGCGAGGTGAAGTCAACCAGGAGGAGAAAGACAGAAGATGGATGGTGCCACTGACAACAGGCAGTAAGAGCTGAGGGCACTGGGGGGCCAGCGGAGGGCGAGCGAAGTACAAAGATCAAAGTACAGTGGGGTCACCGTGCCCTGCGGTGGAGGCCAGGGGTCTGAGGCTGGTGGGTGTGGTGTGGTAACTCCCGAAGGGCAGCTATTAGCGGAATTTGGACTCCAGAAGAGAGGCAAATGGAGGGGGGGGAGTTCAAGGGTAGGGGGTGGTATGGTGGACTGCGGTGGAGGACTGTGGGCACCATGGTGATGAGTGTGGGTTAGGGACACTAAGAGGTGTGACCCTATACCCGCACATCCTATAGAGTGAGGTAAACTAGTGTAGCCATAACTAAAAAATTTCAGAAATTAACTGAAGCATGAAGAGTTCAGTCAGAAGCCTGAGGACTGGGCTCAGAGGAGAGCCCTAACCAGTTCCCAGGTGATGCTGCCAGGAGCGCCCTTGGAGACCATTGCTCTGGTTGATGGGGTTTTGCTACTGGCCCAACTAGTCTATTCTAGGCCAATGAGATGTGGCCAGGATGTCCTGGAGACAGATTCCATGGCCCTTTACAGGGCCATTTTGGAAATGTCAGGACTTGTGAGCACCTTCCAATAACCAAGGTTATCCTGGGAGATCTCCCTTCCTGGAAGCCCTCGACACACAGGGAGGACTAGGATGAAGGCCGCTGTGGCCTATATGACCCCCTTGGGGGGAAAAGGGGGTAGCACTGGTTTCCAGGGGATCTACAAGGACCTCTATCTTGTAGGTTAAATATACACATCATGGACACCCTGAATACTGCCTAGAAGTCTGCTCACACACTTGCCTACCAAATGATCCAGCTATTCCACACTTAGGTATTTTCCCAAGAGGAAAAAAGCCTATGTCCCAGTACAAAAGGTTTCATCAAGACACAAACATATTTGTATCTGTCCCAAACCGTAGCAAAGCAAATATCCAGTAGTAGGTGAATGAACAGACCGATTGTGTTATATGGTACCCTGGAACAGTACTCAGCAGAGAAAAAGGATAAATTGTCAACAGACACACAACAGCATGGATGAATGTCAGAATTATGCCAAGTGAAAGAAGCCAGAGAAAACCAAGCACCTATTATACAGTGCTATTTATGTGACATACTAGGATGGAAGAAAGATCACGGAGTGCCAAGAGATGAGGCTAGGGCGAGGGGAGGCCTGGGAGGAACATACTACAAATGGCCATGAGGGAACTTGGGGGTAATGGCTTGGTTATCTGGATTGTGCTGATGGCTTCACAGGTATGCATAGAGGTCAAACATCAAATTGTGCACTTTTTATAAACCCATGTGGTCTGTTAGGTGTTGATATACGCTCAATACAAGCTTGAAAAATAAAGTCCTTTTCCTGGTAAAGCATAAAAATAAACAGGAAAAAGGAAATAATGAAACCAAGAAAATCAAGAAGTGCAGGTGGGCCAAGGGACATCAGAAATGCAAGCTTATAAAAATGAAAGGAAATAAAAAGTTTAAAAAAGAACATTCTTAGCTCACAGGCTACACAGAACAGGTGGTGGGCCCATAGACCACCATTTCCCAGCCCATGTTTTCACCACCCAATTTTATAAATTATTATATTAGGCCTTTGGGGAAGTAAATCTTTGTTGAAGTTTCTGATAAATTCCTTTGTGTAGACTCCACTCCTGATAAATTTTATAACTAAACTAGGGAACATGATTGTCAGACTGACTACACAGTGCTGTATTACTTTCTAGAAAAGATCAACAGTACCCAACAGGAGTGTCCAACATTCCATCTCACTTACAGTCATGCTACGTCTGACTTGTAGAATTTGTGAACCTTTGGTAACTTGATAGATGAAAGTGACCATTTATAAATAGATACACAAAAAGTCTGCAAGACAAAACATGCTTAAAACATGTATAAGTGGATTGATTAGTTGAAATTTCCAAATTTTTCTCTTCATTATCTTGCTGTGGCAGCCCAGTAAGCTGAGTAAGCTAAACTTTGGGAAAAGGCTCCTAAATCCAGCTGCATAGGCAACTCCAGCTTCTGTGCTATCTGCTGTCACTGACTCTTCCAAGCTTCCGGTTAAGATGGCTGTCGGAGTGGCATCTTCAAGTTCCCCATCTTCATCATATCTTTTCTAAAGGAAGGTTTCCCCATTCATGTCGGTCTTGCCCACGGCTGTGCCTTTCCAGGTAAAGTAAGCTTCAGATGGATCTGAAGAAAATAAAATATGACCGCTCCTCACCTCAACCACAAGTGAGAGTCTAAGTGGGCAAACACCACCTGAATGGTGTGCTCTTGCATCACAGAGGCTATTCTCTGCATCAGCTGAGCTGTGAGCATGGGTTCTTGGTAAACACACAGTATTACTGAGCTAGTTTTCAAGCTCTGTGCACAAGTGCTCCATAGTGTGAGGCCCCGCACGCGACCCCAGACTGACATGCTTGGTAATTTGTTCCACTCTATGTACACTGCGCTCATCATACAGAACAGATTTCTGTTTCTTCTCAGTTGTTAATGCCACACCATTTGCAGCCTAAATCCCCACTGAAGGGACTCCTCCAGCTACAGCAGCCAAAGCATATTCAGTCTGGATGAATTTACCAGACGGGCTGTAAGTCTAAGCAATAGCTGTAATGGTGCCCTGCTATCTTGACTTGAAGAACCAAAGCACCATATTAACTCTTATTCTTGGCCAGTACTTTCCTATTGTTGACCTTTTCATTTCATTTAGATGCCTTCAGTCGTAGAAATGATTTTAAATTTTATGAGGTGATTAGTTTGAAAATAGGTATCAACTGTAATTGCTATAGATTTATAGATCAATTAGAATAGCCAATTTGGTTCCTTCCTTTGATTTTATGTGTAGATAGTCTCTTTCTACTCAGAAATCATTTAGTAATCAACCAAAGTTTCTCCTGGATTTTACTATACTTTCATATTTTAGCAGATCTTCACATAAGATTCACAGAACTTCATGTCATCTGGTATTCACTTAGTGTGCACAGTAAAATGAGATCTTAAAACTATTTTGTTTCCAAGTTTTTTTCTGAATTTGATTTTTCCACCGTCATTTAGGACATAATCCACCCTTCTTCTCCTCCTCCCAATTTGTGTGTCATGTAAATACTAGGGTCAAGATATGGGTAAAAGTGGAGTCTAATCAGAGGGAAGAATGGCAGGTATGGCTAGTGCATCCCATTTTTGTTCCATGTCTCTCTGTCCTTACACTGGATCAACACTATTCAACAACTGTCATCTTAGCCTTTGAACAGCTGTTAGTGTTAAAATGCCTGATGAGAGACCACTCCACTTTATCACTCCAACCTCTTCTCAAAAGAAATTAAAAGGCATCCTGGGAGTATTTATGTTAGGAAAGAGAAACCTACTATATGAATGAATAATCTCCACTGAAATCATGCACAGATTGTTGGCATGAAGAAAAAAACAAGATGAGAACCCCCCAAAATTCTCTGAGAGTAAGAGGGGCAGACACACACTATTTGGGAGAAATTGTCTCCCGTTTACTTTAGTCTTATAGATAAGACATAGTTAATTCTCACTTCTTCCAGTTAAATCTGTTACCCGAATGTGGCTAGAACTCTGTGGACCATCAGCCGCAGTCACCTCAGACTGGAGCCTTGAGCTGGGCCCGTGCCCTAGCAGACCCTGTTCACAGAGTGCATGGTCTCTGTGGACAGCTCTTCTCCTGTCTCTCCCCGGTCACCTTTCTTGAGTGTGTTGTAAACACAGAAATTCTCAAAACTGGAGCGGCTGGAGGGAGAAACGCAGCAGCCACTCCTGTGGTAGGCTGCGGAGGCCTGACCTCACAAGCTACCACGGGCAGACCCAATCTAGCCCGCTGCCTATTTGCACCTCAAGTTTAGCAGCTCGTGGCCACGCAGCTTCTCACCATTGGTGTACTGGCTGATGTGAGCAGTTGCAGCAGAAACTGCTTGGCCTGCAAAGCTGAAAACATGTACTCTTTGGCCTTTTTTGAACAGCTGCTTTCCCACGCCCCACGCATGCAGCCCATATACGGGCACCCCACAGACTATAAAGACAGAGCCTTGGTCTTCTTTACTTTCACCTCAGTGATTCTGTCTGCTAATTAGAATCAAACCCAGACCACAGGCATTCACACAGAAGATCGGAGGACCGTGTAGTCACAACATAATTTCTCTCCACAAGGCTGTAATCATCGTCTCCTAAATTCAATCTATTGGCAAGACCCGACAAATGCTCAAACTGTGACTAAAAAAGAAAAAGGGAAGGAAATCAAGGTGAGATTCCCAGCGAGGAAAAGGACAAGGTGCCTCTCGCCTTGTGCTATTTCTGATGTGTAAGAGAAGCCTCGATGAAGGTGA